ACATAAATGAAAGGAAATGAGACTGTTTAGATTGTACTGTGACCTCATTCACATGACTTTGTGTGCCACCTCACCACTTCTGTAATCGCTGTTAATTCAGTATTGGAGGAAACTGCTCTGCAGTGATAGGGATTTGCAGTGTACCAAACTGTCATCAAGGCCTCTTCTGCCAACAGAACCTGTTATTTAATGCTATACTATCTTTCCATTGGCTTCATAAAACCAAGCATTAATACTGGCAGGTTGCTGCTAAATCTGTCAAATCCCTCTGAATATATGCACACCAAATCATGGTCATTATTCATGCTTATATCAGCTGTATCTACAGCAGGAGGGCACTTCATCCCCTTTCATCTTTAGGATTCACTTGTCAGGCGATTAGGAGGATTTGTGTTTGACAGCTAAATAATTAATTATACTTGCCTTGCAGAAATAGTGAGATCAAGATTCTGCCTGTTTTATGTTCTGTTGTGTGTTGGAAGTGAACCTAGACTTGGAGTAAGGAAATACGAACCCTTTTTTGACCACACATTTCTTGTGTGATAAGACTAAGCAAGTCAGAGAAATATCTGCAGAGGAATCTAATTAGGACAAGGCTGACTACCACCATCTAGAAATGAGAGTTATGGTAATCAGCATACTGGAGGGGGATAGAGGGAAACTGGAACAGTACTCTTCAGGAGGGTCTCTGAACCACCAGGCTAGGGATACAAAGGCAGAGGGGAATGTCTTCCCTTCTTTGCTGGTGCTATAATCATTCTCCAGCCAAGAATTCAAGATATACAGGGCCAGAGAGAAAATGCAGAACTTCCCTTGTCTTCCAGCCTGGCCATTGGGACACTGCTGGTAGGGTGTCATTATGGGCATTCTAGTTCATGCTGCATGTGACTTTTTATTGCAAACGTTGACAAAATGAGAAGGTTAGGTAAATGGAGACAGTACATGCTGGGAGATTTCAGGGGATGCTGACAAGGTTGAGGAACCTGCTGTTGCGTTTATAGTGTCTAAATTCCCCAAAAGCCCTTCAAGTTCTGAATGTTGTTTTGCACCTGTGTCCCAAAGGGGTAAGATCTGCTTGCTTCTTGGAAATATTGAGCATGGCAGGTAGGAATGAATCAGGTAAAAGATAAGTAATGTGAAAGCTGGAGTTGTAGATGGGTATTTTGAGCATAGATCAGTGTGTCATTGATCAGGGTCTTACAAGACGTTTTTTTCTGAAATGAGCTTCTTACGTAAAGGAAGAACAGGGAAGGAGAAAGGATTATATTGAAATCTTCAGTTCAACCCAATTAGAGTGTTCTTTGCTCACATTTCCTTTTTATAGAAGTGAAGGAAATTTTGATAAATTATGCTGGGCTTTCAACTGGAGGAGTGACTGAAATACCCTATAGTAAGTAGTCCCTGAGAAGAAAAGTCTGTGTCATGGAGATGTGTGTCAGATCAGCAAGAATTTAAGTTGGGTTTGCCTGGTTCTCCTAGCCACTAGTAAATTTCGTAGATACTTGACCCAGTATGGGTATGAGCCATGTAGAACAGTTGCAGAGCCACAAGAAAATATTCTGGCTTATGTGGGAGGAGATGTGTCTGTCTCTAATTTCTCTTTTTTTGTTTGAAAAATCAGTGACTGTGATGATTTTACTTGATCTGGGACTCCCAGCACACAGATCTTAGCTACGCTTGAGGTTTCATCCTGTTAAAGTGGAACAATCAGACTTAACAGATCACAGAGGATTCGGTGTATCTTGGAGTGCGGAAAGTTTACCCTGCATGTTCCCTAATAGAAATGAGTACTATATTAACTTTTACAGAGTTGTTTTCAGAAAATGGTAACAAATGTTTTGCACGGATCAGTATAGACCAATAATAACATAAATAATTTTTTTTTTTAAATGTCCTTCGGTACCATTTTACAGGAAAAGTAGAACACCCTGGCAGTGCAGGTTCACCTGAAACTAGATTTGCATACACTTATCAGTGTTTTTCTTTTTTGTTGTCAGTGGTACTTGTGCCAGCCCTTTAAATCCTTGAGCACTGTCCCCTTGCAATTAAAATATACCAGTTCCACTTGTCTTCTCCTCTGCCTGTTCCAGAACAAACCTAGGTGTCCCTCCTCACTGGAGTTCTGCTCAATCGTCATTCAATATATTCAAATTATGACTTTCTGTATCCTCCTAGTAGATACAAGCATTCTTTCCTCTTCTCATCACAGAATTCTGGAACAACTGTGCTTGTTATGCAGTAAATGATCTTTGGGTCTTGTCAGTCATTGTGGTCTTTCAGCACGTTCTGTGTCCTACACCTGTTTTTGCACTGCTCCTCTATCAGTACATCTCTCAGGAGTTCAGTTTCTCCTTTCTTTGCTCACATTTCTGTATGTGCAAAAAGAGTTGTGTCTTCAGCTACTTGGCTCCCTGGGCTTTTTGTCTTTTGTCCTGAACAAACTGCAGCTCATACAAAGACTGCGCTCTGGCCGGTCTCCAAGCTCCCGACCCCACAACAGCCTTCTGTGGATGGTATTCTGGTCTCTGTTCCCAAGAAGTCAGTTGGTTCTCCGTGCTGATTTCTTACCTGCACAGGCATTCCTTCCGAGTGGGCAGATGAATGAACGTTTTCAAGCACTGCACTTTCATCTGCTTCTATAAATTAAGAAATCCTATTACAATGTGCCCTTCTCACTGGGATACACTAGTTTCTTCCTCTTTGTTCATGATTCTTTTGCCGTGTTTTTTAGCTTGTTAAATTTTAGCATGTTGTGCGTTTATCTGGGTTTTGGTTTTCACAGAATAAGATCAATGATAAAGCAATTACCAAATGCTTTCCTTTAATTAATTGCTCTTGAATAACAATTTTTTTTAAAAAAGAAAAGCTCCCCTAAATTAAGAATTTAGGATATTCCTTTAATGAGCATTTATTTCTGAGTTAAATAGCAGTGGAGTTTCAAGTATGTGCTCTCATAATTTTCAAAACCATTTTGTGAAGCAGAACTGTGAATAAGTTTGATCATGAATGAGAAAGCAGCTGGGGGGTTCTGTAGAGTTTTATTGTTGATTTCCCTTCCCCAGCTCACAAACTCTAGATTCTAAGTAAAGTTGCAAGCTCATCAGTTTAGTTGTTTCTGCTGCCACCTGCAAGTAGAGTTGCAACAGGATGCTTCTGAATGTTACATTTCATAGTTGGTCTTATTGTCAGCAAAACTTGATAACTGTCCTGTGTACAACTTTCAAAACTGTCTTCAAAGGTGCTCTTTTTGCCAGCCTAAATTGTCTCTGTGTGTATTCTAATCCTTTTTATAGATAAATTTTGACAGAGTTAGTGTACAAAATGACTAATATGGAGCTCTCCACATTCTTTATACACCTTGAAATTTTTAAACTACTTGAAGTGCTGCACTCCTCTTGGTTCTGATATTGACCAGTGCTTTCCTAATAGTCCCAAAGAGGTCCTCAGTGCCTTCAAGACTAAATCTTGGGTGTCTTGTCTCTTAGCTTTTACTCAGGTCAGTGGAGTAACGGTGACGTTTTGTGGTGTTTATGCACACTTTACCAGAAAGGGATGGCGAATTACAGCTAGGGCTTTGCAATGCTGGGGTCTGAACCCCGAGCCCCGAATTAAGGTTGACATATGGGTGATTCCCACAGCCCTTCATAAAGAGGTGGTGAGTTTGCCTTATAGCTTCCCCCCAGGGTGCGGCCGGCCCTGCAGGGAGAGCCATAAGGGAAATGAGCCCCAGGGGTCCCACAGTGAGTTGACAAAGGTCAGGTGTCTGCTTGGGGATAAAAGCTGGGACCACTGGCAGGGAGTCAGGAGTGTCTGTCTGTGGAGTGCACTCCACAGAGCTTCCTGGTTCAGGGCAGACCTCCTGACTCTCCCTGCAGCTGGGCCCCAGTCTGTTTAGGCCTTTGCGAACGCGGGCGGATTGGGTGAGAGTTGCCATGTGGGCACCTTTCTCTTATGTCTTTAACTTACTGGTTTGGCTGTTTCCCATGCCAACTATGGGCAACTTCATCTCACTGTTTATACCACCTGTTGTGGGCCGAGTCACATCTTTTGTGGGATTGTTGGGGGTGGTGTTGTTTATGTACCAGCTGATTGATCTGTTTGTACCCCCAGCAATCATTCGTGGAATGTCCTTTTTGTATACAATATCGTCTATGTATTGGATTCTCTTTCTGCTGGTAGTATCATTTTTGTTGGGCCTGGTCATTGGCAGAACAGGCTTCTAAGTACTCATATCTTATGTAAACAACCAATAGTTATGCCTATGTTCTTGATTACATATGACAAGGATTTTAAAGCTAGACAAGTTTCTTGGTGGGGAGAAGAGCTGAGTGAGAGAGGGAATAGCAGGCAGATAGTAATTGGTGAAGATACATAAAGATGAGTATCATTAATTTTATTTTATTTTGTTGGGGGCAGATAATATTGTTTGCTGTTCTTTCGGCTTACCTGTGAGGTTAATCTTGTTGCTTATTTTAGTACTCTGTAAATTAGTTATTAGTTTTTTCTCAAAATAAGTAAAAATGTGAGCCTTTAAATGGGAGCTCTTTAAAAATTTAAAGAAATGTTGTCAGCTTAAAGATCACACTCTGTCTAGAATGACTGAAATGAATACTCCTTGTATGGACAGAAGTCAAGGTTTTCCCCCTCTTCCTTCAGTTTTACTTGTGGTACTGAATAGTAGCTTTCCTTAGGTAATTTCATCCTATGTTCAGTCCACCAGTGAAAATTCTGTGTCTTCCCTGAAACTGTATTAAGGGGTTATTGTTTAAAAATGTCACTGAACATTTTTTTATAGGGAAAATTTGAGGATCACATTTTTATGAACTCTTTATTATTAAAACAACCCTAACAGAACCCCCAGAAGTATAATTTAGTTTGCCTGTTTCTTCACTGTCCTTTTTCTGCTCTTATATTTTGTATTTTATTTACAATTTTTTATGTTTTCCAAGTTTTAATTGAACCTGCAAATTTTAAAGGAGAATAATTTTTTTTTTTTTCAGAGCGTTGGGAAGAAATTACCTCCAGCCACAGCAACTCAGGAGCCAACAAAAGTAGAAGTGGACAGCAGAACAAAAAGTAGGTTTCATTGTTTTTTTCTTATTTGCACTTTGTGCTATTAAGCCTCTTAAAAGCAAGCTAAACACTTTTCTCTGATTTTGTCTGTGTGTCCTGTATATATGAAAAATGAGGATGCAGATGGATACATTTAGGATAAACTTTGAGTAGGTGGTACATAGACAGATTGCTTTGTTTTACAGAATCCTCTGAATTGTTTTTGCTCTGATAACCCTCCCTTGAGTTTTCTGCCATCAAAAATCAAATTAAATTACATGATCAGTTTTCAGCCTTGAGGGTACTTCAAAATTAACCAGAGCTGAATGAGATCCAACTTCAGGCTGTAACTTGTAGGTAGGTCATAGAAAAATATCTCTGGTTTTGAGTACACTCGCTTTTTTCCTCTTTTTTTTCTTTATTTATGTAGCAGAAATAATGTGTGGGTGGTATACTTTTTATGGGAAATGAAGAGTGTCCAAGAACTTCAGTTCTGTTTTTGTCATTTCAATGCTTAGTAAACAAAAAGAAATTAAATATTTTTGGCAGGTCTCAGTGCTGTTCTAGGAAGACATACGGAATCATAGAATTTATTTGGTTGGAAGACACCTTTAAGATCATCAAGTCCAACTGTTAACCAAGCACTGCCAGGTCACCGCAAAACCATGTACCTCAGCAGCACATCTGTGTGTCTTTTTAGTACCTCCACAGGTGGTGATTCCACCACTTCCCTGGACAGTCTGTTCCAGTGCTTGACAACTCTTTCAGCAAAGAAATTTTTCCTAATATGTAACCTAAACCTTCCCTGGCACAACTTTAGGCCACATCCCCGTGTCCTATCACTTGTTATTTTGGGAGAAGAGACCAAACCCCACCTTTCTACAGCCTCCTTTCAGGTAGCTGTAGAGAGCCATAAGGTCTCCCCTAAGCCTCCTTTTCTCCAGGCTAAACAACCCCAGTTCCCTCAGCTGCACCTCGTAAGACTTGTGCTCCAGACCCCTCACCGTGTAACTGGCTTATGCATAACTTATATGTAACTAGCTTACCAAAAAACTTATCTATATATTCCCCATCTTCTGATTTTATTTATATATTTACAACTAAATGTTATGGTAGAAAAGAATAAGAAGTCAAAGAGTGTAGCCGTACCTTAGAAAAGAAATTGAGTGTAGTATAAACTACTGAGTTTTGAAAGACTTGCATTGTCCTTCTCCTTCCATTTAGATAGTTAGCAGGTAACATTTTGTCTCATCACTGAAACACGTACAGACACAGGAAGGCAAGCAACTGGAGCATCAGAACAGGAGCTGAGAGAAGTGTGTGGTTATGACCTGGTTTACCATTTTTTCAGCTCAGAGTTGCAGAGGCAGCTTAAAACAACCTTTAGTGAGGTATTCTCCATTAGCTGCACACCCTAATTGACTTGTGTCTTACCTTGTCCCTCTTGTGACACAAGGCTGTTAATGGGCAGTACCCCAAGAAGTCAGTTGCCGTGAAGAAATGAGAACTTGTACTGAAAAATGTGTGAACAGGTAATGTAGAGCAGGGCTTCTGAATGAAAGTGTTTTAGAATTATCTTTTCCAACCAGCAGCTGAGCAGGATAAGCTGGTCTGGATGCAGGTGCCATCAGAAGGGGTGGTCACATGCACTTTCCCACCTGTAGCACTAACCCTTGTTCGGTCAGTCAGGCTGGGAGGGCTCTCTGCCTCTTTCCACAGCAGCTCATACTTCTGACAGCTGAAACTGCTCACTAAATCACATCACAGGGTACTGGGTTTTGGTATTTTTATCAGTTATAAATGAATATGGAAACCTTCTGAACAGTGGTTAGAGAACTGTACCTTCTATGGTGACAAACTGAGTTGTGATTGACAGAGAGTCATTTGTCCATCAACACTTTTGCGCTCTGGTTGTTTTTTATTTCACCTTTTTGTTATTTCCCTTGGACCAAGTCTTTTTGGTCAGAAAATCCCTCTTTTGCTCTTGCTGTCTATTTTCACTGGGGCTGTGTTCAGACATCATTCAACATCCACTTTGCAGAACACGTGGGAAGGATGGACTATTTGTTTGTGCAGTATCTTTACATGTTCTATGAATTTTACCTGAACTTTTTTATTTAGGACATTTCATTTTTCCTGAATCTCGGGGGCCTTGGTAGAATTTTTGGCATCTCTGTTCTTGAGAAGCACATGTATTGGAAAGTCTGATATGTTATATTTACAGAATTGTCTTAGGCTCAAAAGGCATCACAGGAGATACTTTTCAGTCAGTTGTAGTTGGCCATTTAAATTGAGGAAGCTTTCAGTGAAAACTCCAGTCCGGTTTGGTTTTTGATGTAGGCAGAGTAATATTTTTTTCATAATACAGTTTATGTGTGATAGTCAGACATGAGGAGTATGATGAGAGTCTGGCATAGGACTACGGTTTATCTAGTGTTTGTTATTTCTCCAAAATTTATTTTTTCCTTTCTCTTAAAAACCTGTGACAAGCAAACATGAAAAAGCATTGAAGATGAGGAAGTCTACAGCCTCAGAAAACTGATGACTGTTAATTGCAGTGTTCAGCATAGAAGTGTCATTCCACCTTGAACCTCAGCTACTTTCACTTTTGTCTGGGATGGTAGTGCCCAAGTCAGCATTGGAGTCTTTAATTGCTGAACAAGAGGGATACTGTGCCATTCTCCCAAGAAGCAGCAAGGAACAGATGATCCAGAGATTCAGCTCAGTATGCTGAGAGGGAGCTTTTAGATGTGTAATTTAGATTCCCTGGAGATTACTGCTGGAGATCTATGCTGCAAACAAGAGATATTATATGAGTAGAAGAATAATGGTTTTTTTCATCTTCCACTTGTTTCTCTCCATGACTAATGCTGTTATTCCTTAATCCCAAGTGGATAAAAATGCAGTTGCACTTTGAAAGAGCCTGCTGAGAGAGGAAACGGGGAGCAGTAGCATCTGCCCTCTCTGCCTATGGGGCCTTCACCATGGGGTGGTGGTTGCTGACTCATCCCACATGTTGTTACGAGCCTGCTTTTTGCCTGTAGCTTTCCTGATGTGGTAGGGCAGTGATTTGCAGCCAGGTAGTTGATGTGCTCACCATTACTCTTAGTACATGAAAGAAAGCAATTCCAAATAATATGCTCTGTAAAACTTTAGAAGAAGTGGTCTTAAAATTTTGGAAGATAAGCAGATTACTTCAAGACCAAAGACGACTTCTTGCTCAAAGGGAGAGAGCACAGTGAAAGAAAAAATCCTTACAGAGCTTGAGTGGTCCCTTGGAAAACATTGCTAACTTTTCAGGAATAAAAGAATACATCTTTGAAGAAAAGAGGGGATAGCTGTTTGGCTGAGGTTTGTGGGTGCCTAGACTTACAGTGGAATTATTCTGCTGTTGAATTTCCATCTCTTTTGTGTAGCTGGGATGGCACATGCATTTGTGTGCATGTTTATAATTCTGTCTCTGGAGTGAGGTATGTTGTTTTTTTCTATAAAGTACCTTGTTTTAGTCTGAAGTATCTTGTTAAGTGGCTTGTGGTGAAAAGCCTATATTATAGAAAAAATGTATCATTTTTTAAGTAGCTCTGTTGGATTCTAAAATTCAGAACAGCAAAAACATCCACAACGACCAAGAAAGGTATTGCAGATTACTGGGATTGCAAAAATGGGGTGGAAATAAGCAGACAACAGTACAGCAGACAATTAGTCACAGAATGCATTGACCACAGCACTTGATTTAATTGCTCCACTCAATTACTATTTACAATTTGTGTCAACCTACTGCATAACAGGAATACCAAAATCCAAGCAAGCAACTAATCTTTGCGCATGATGGTAGAAGGTATAAAGATTAGCTAAATCTAGATTAAAGGGGCCCTAATTCGTTCTGTTTCTATTTTTTGTTTGATGAGGTGGTGTTTTGACAGTTTGAATCTCATGGAGTTCTGTGAAAGTATTTCTTAGTGCAATCCAGTTATGAATCTTGAGTGTAGCAGTTAATAGTAAAATCAAATGCTGCTGAGCAGAGTGTTTGGGGTTTTTTTCATATGGTTTGTGGTTTTGGTAATGATGTAATTTTTCACTAGTTTTCGTATATTTTATTCCATTTCAGAAACTTTTTCTGAGTGATAGTTAAAGAGAAGAAGCTTAAGTTCAATGAATACTATTATAATGCTGCTTGTTTTCTTACTTAGTATCACTGGTTGTGTCCATATTGATTAGTATATGATTTAGACTTCATTGAAGGGGAAGTATTTAAGCCTCAAAAATCAACTGTACCACTTAGTTGCTTGTTTTACTAATAAGCAAATAAATAATCAATTTCTGAAAAGTGGTTAGGTTACCTGAAATGGAGGAAATGTTGCCAGAGGGTGGAACAGTTCTTGCCTGACAAAAAGGAAGCAGCAGCAGAGGTATGAGGAGGAAATTGTGTCATCCTGACCTAAGAGGAAGAGCAAATTCCAGAGTCACTGTCCCTGGTGAAATTTAAGCTTGAAGGTATGTTTGTCTGTCGACTGCTGTCTTGAACATCCTAGCTCATCCGAAGAGTCTGGCAGGAGAGCAAACAGAAGAGTTTGCTTTTGAAGTGAACAAGGTCCACCGAAACAGTAAATGGAGTTTGCTCTGTTCTGGTTTGAAGAGTTTGATATTTAACTGGTCGCTGAGAATACAAACAAATTATTTTGCTTGCTACAGTCCTACAGGAGTCCAGGTCACATAGAAGGCCTATACATTGAAGTTAGTGCTTTACACCGCAATTGTAAATACACATTGAGTCACTGAATTCTGTGGGTGAAATACAGTATTTGCAGCAGTCAAGGTAATGAAGCAGCTGTATTCTTAGGAAGGCTACCTCTTGCTATTGTTATCCCTCTTTAAGGCAGTTTTTGGGGATCTGGAGGCTGTGGTAGATAGGCTGCATTTTGAACGCGGACAGACTGTGCAACATGAGCTGCTGATCAGAGACGTGTTAACCACCCCCATAAAACATGCAGTTATTTTAAAAGGTTAACTCCTTTGTAGTGTTT